CCTCTAAAGATGGTGTTGAACCAGGGGAGACTCCTAGAACCCACTGGAAAATGTTGTCACAATTGCGCTTTTCAATTGAAAACAGACATCATCTTTAGAGAGATTTGTCATCTTTAAAGACTTCTGCACGCCATTTCTCGACCCGCTCTTTCATTTGAGCCCAAAAAAACATTTATATCGGTCTTTATTCATATTGATATGTGATATGTGATAAATTGAAAAGATAGTTGCCCGATTCGTCCAAATTTCTAATGATTTTTTTTATATGGACCTGGGAATTACAATGTCATTAAATGTGGCAGAAAATAAATGATTTTTCAGTTAATAATGTATGGAAATTTCGTAATATTCAGGAGAAATTTTTGAACAGCATAAAATCCCACTGACTTGATCGAATAACTGGAATAGCGAAGCGCTGGGCTGATGAATGGTGCATACAATCGTTCTTCCTTGTCTCGCGAGAACCTTGAGCAACTGGACAACTTGCATACACGTGGAGCTATCTAATCCCCTGCCGATAAGAACAAAAAATAAACAAATAGTTCTCTATTAAGATGATCAATGAAATTAAAATTGTATCGGATTTCTATTGAACTTCTAGTGATTTTGATTCCATCGTAGAATTTCTCAGCTTTACCGTACATTTTTTTATAGAAAATTTCCAATCTATCAAAAATATTCTACAGAAAGAATTTGTGAAATTTTCATACAATTTTTTTTACAGTTTTTTCGACTCTTTTTTTTTCTCTTTTCATTAAAAAAATCAAACAAAAAACTTGAAGAATTTGAACAGAAGAAAAAAATCGAATTCTATTGATTCTTTATATAGAATATGTTCTGTTGAACATTCTTATTAACAAAAAACGAGTAGATAAGCAAATTTTGGAATACAAGCTGCCAAAAACTAATAAAAAATTGACTAAAATTCTACCAGAATTTTCCAGCGAATTCGTTATGTTCTTCTATGAAGTTTTTCCATGCGTGGAAAGATAGCTGCTGAGACTAATTAAAAGTTGTGCAATTACTTATCGAAAAAAAATGACAAGAATTTGCATCGGTGTGAAGATACTCACGTGGTGGGTTCATCGAGGAACATGACAGTTGGATTATTAACCAACTCAAGGGCAATTGACAGTCGTTTTTGCTGTCCACCACTCAATCTACTCGCCCTTGTTGCCTGATGATCGAACAGTCCCAGTGTAACAAGTATTTCTTTGATCTAAAATTCACGGAATAACAGCTGATAAACAAATTGATAATTCAATGTCACGCGTCAACGAGTCAAACGTACAATTTGTTCTTTGGTCTGTCTTGGTATATTCGTACCAAGTTTGAGATCAGCAGCGACTCTCATATTTTCAATCACAGTGAGGAGGGGCTGAAGACGATCGTCCTGAGTTATGTAGGCACTTGATCTTCTGAATGCATCTAGATCACGTGTTTGTCCATTAACGTAAACATTACCACTGATGCCGGTTAGACGATAGCCGGAGAGAATGTCGAGGAGGGTGGATTTTCCGGCACCGGAAGGGCCCATTATGGCAATCAGCTGTCTTGCAGGGAGTCGTCCGTGTATACCGTGCAATATTTGCTTGTAATCTGTTGTTATTTGCACATTAACGATATTAAGTTTTTTAATTAATTGAAAACAGGAACACTATTGGATTTCTATGGGACTTTCTATTTGTTTTCGGCCGATTTGATTGGAAAATTGGTTTATCACGTTTTTTTTTTCAGTAGAAATTTTGAATGGAAATTATTCTATAGAAAAATCAGTAAAATTAGCTTTTTCAATGCAATTTATTCTATTGAGATGTTCTCTGGAGAAATTTTTTTACTTGAATTTACCAAGTTTTTTGTTTGATTATTTTTAATGAAAAGAGAAGAAATATAAAGTGAGAAATACCATGTTCAGATCCCTCAATAGAAAAAGTTGCACAGAAAGATGAAATTGTACTATTTTTTTTTCATGAAATAGTTTTTTTTTATTATTATTCATGAAATAGTTTCAATTGGACATTTTCTATAAAGAAAAATCTTTAGAAAAACTACTTTCTAAGGTAGATTCATGAAACGATGGCAAAAATCTTGTGATAGCAAGAACAACAATACTTTTGTAATATCCAAGAAATAAATCATTAGCGAATCGCTAAAATTGTTCAACTCGCTTTCGACTATTGCTCAGTATTCAACGAATATCTCCAAATCTAAGGCAGATAGAAAAATTTTTACACTGACCTTTTTTGTGAAGCGAGCCAAAAGCAACAAAAAAGATGATCACAAAAATATCGGTATCTCCCTCAGATTCCGAGGTATCTGAAGTAATTAAATTGAATGAAAAAAAATTGATTTACCTTTTCGAAATAATCCTAAGCCAACCCGGTAGCTTATGTTTTCAAACACAATATCCGTGACTTCATGATCAGCCTTAGCCTTGGCAAGTAATTGCGACTCCCCCTTCCAACCCCCCGCGGAACCGTTCCTCTGAATTTTTTGCTCACTCACGCGCTCTATTTTCGGCGCTGAAATTTCCCCAGGAGTCACATTATCCTGTGCAATCGGAGATACCCCGGTGGAGGCCTCGTGCATCAGAACCTCCATGACAAAGGATTTCAATGCAACACGTGGAAGTCACTGTGACGGTCAATGCTCTGTGAATCAACAAGCGATTGAACAAAATGAAATGTCTCTTTTTCCGGTAATTCTGGGGTAAAAGGGGGGCCCTATCTATCTCCCGCGTTTCGATGATACAATTCCTCATGGAAGATGCCCTGCGATTAGATTAGATTACCACGAAATAAGTATTGATAAATAAATTTTCTGTCAATCGATGGCGGATCGAAGGCCATTGTGAGAGGTTGCGACTCGCACTCTGTACCAAAGTCCACTCTTCCGCTACGATATCATTGTTGTTCATTCTCCCCTTTCACTCCGCCACTCCGGTTCATCCCGCACGATGCATTTCACGAGAGTCCACAACACAGGGTGTTTACCTTTTCAGCTGCCTTTGTCCGGATTTTTTTACGCTGAGCTTTTCCAGTTACGCAAAAATTGATTGAAAAAATTTTTCGAATGAAATCTCATTTTCATTTTTCATTTTTACTCAGTACAGATCCAACGGCATGCGGCCAATTACGGGATCAAATTAAAAAACATAAAGGACAATAGTGAAATTAATAAAGTGAACAGTTCAAAATAATATTCATGACGGAAAGCATATTTATATTGCTTATATTATAAAATTACTAGACTAGTTAATATAGCTATATGTCGTAATAATGTAAATACTCAAATTATTTATTGATAATTTTCTTTGTTTTGGCAGATGTCTTCTCGCAATAAAACAATAGATTTTTATTTTACGAGTTTTTTTATATATTTTTTTATTGCAAAATCCAAGCACAAAAACTTGGAAATTTCATCAGTGTTTTCTATTCGTTGCATGTCAAAATTACGTAATTTTTAGTTGCACAATTATTTCAAAGAAAAAATGAATAGAATTTACTGATTTCTATTACAATTTTTGAATAATCAATTAATTCTTTTGGGAATTTATTCAAATTTCCATCTGCTTCTTCCTAATTTCTATAAAAAAACTGTATCTTTTCCTCACGGATTTCGCGAAAATATTGACCAACAACATTTGATGGTAAAAAGTCAATAGATTTCTGTTTGCTTTGACAACGTACCCTGTCAATATTTTTTTTCTAAAAAATTCCTGGGCATTTTCCACGCTCTTCACACTTCCTCTTAATCTCGCACTGCGGATTTTGAAGAATCTTAAAATGTCTGCGGAGGGATTTCCCCAGAAAAAATATTAAAATCGAAAGCCATCGATTAAAAAAAATTCTAAACAATCTCGATTTATTTCACAATTTTTCAACAAATGACGAACAACTTCATCATTTGAACTGATGAAGTACTTCATTTGCGATTCGGACTGACCTTCGTCACTCAATTATCTTCATTATCAGAGAAATGATCTTCCCACGTAAATAACCAGCTGCCTCCAAGCTCTATATTGACCGTGATCAAGTATTCCATTAATCCCGATATAAATCTCGGGAATTGTTATCCATTTGACTATATAATCCAACATCCAGGGACAACGGACTTTCACCGATAGTCACTGCCCGCCCTTGATGAAACCGGGGTTTTGTTGCTTTCATTATAGGAAAGGATAAGAATGCTCCGTGGAAAATTTTCCTCCTCTGGGTGTTTTTGTTCCTCGACATTCTTCTAAACTGGTTTTTGCACCGACACCCCACATTTTATTTTATTCATCTCCCGTTGGATTGGCTTTTCTCATTTTATTGTCAAATCTCGCACGTTTTATCGTCGATATATTGCACGTTTGCTATCGAATTGTGGGAGTTATTGTTTTTCGCGATGGTTTCTCTCATGATCTGCGACATTTTGGTGACGTTCACTCGGGGCAATAGGCCATTACCCATATCCATACCATGAAAAGTAGATCAAATCGTGTTTGGTCACTTGATAATGAGAAAAATGACGATGATAATTGATAAAACAGTTTTTTCTTGCGCGTTGTGTTTGTTCAAAGTTCAACTCGTGGGTGCTGTGAGTCACAAAGGAGATTCGATGCATTTCGTTAAACAAAGTGCTTCACATTTTTGCGGTTTACGGCACGTGATTGCGCTCTAATGACTTTGAAGACAATGAAGATTTGGTGCATCTTATCGAATGAATGGGTGAGCTTGATGTTTTTATTTTACAGTGTAATGCAGCAATCATACTGACTCTTCTGGAAATATTTCTTCATCGATTCGATTAAACATGTTTTACACTGCAATCAGTGAATGTCACTCACTCATAATGACTTTAAAAACAATGGGGATTCAGTATAGTTTAGCCAATTATCATATGAGCTTGATATGAGCTTTTGTTTTAGAATATAACGCAGATGTGCAGTGGTAGCTCTTCCGAGAATATGTCGCTTCATCAATGAAAGGGTTTCATATGGTAATCAGCGAATATCATTGGCGGCTACTGAATCTAATGCAAGATTGAGAATTTTAGGGAATAAATATGAGGAGCATGAATCGACATCAATCATTAGTTATTGTATATTTTTTAATATTAATTGATAATTGCAATTTTCAATTGACTATGAATTAAATAATTAAAAATATGGAATTGTAAATTGACGATTGAGTAAGTATTTTCTCCATTTCATGAAAGGCATGTTCGATTAGCCAAATAATCGTCAGTACCCCGAACTCAATTATTGATTAATAAAATAATTGGTAATATTAATATTTAATTCATGACTAATTTAATAATTTAAAATTTATGATTCTGCCAATGTCTGATGAGGGGTCGATTTTTTTTTCTTGTTATGCAATGCAACAATGATACTGACTCTTCGAGAAATGTCTCTTCGTCGATTAAAAAAATTTTACAATGTAATCAGTGAATTAAAAACAATGGGGATTCAGTACAACTTATCTAATTAACATATGGACTTGATAATTTTGTTTTACACTATAACACAGATGTGCACTAGTGGCGTTTGCAAGAATGTCATCAGAAAATGTTAATAATTCACATTAACTTTATAATCACTGGATATAATGATCCGCTGCAGAATCTAATGGGACAGGGGGAATTGAAGTGATTTATTTATAAATTATTGAATAACCATATGCACTCGATTTTTTTAGTGCGAACAGTAATAGCCACTGTAAGAGAATTTAATCCAATTTGCATCCAACTTTTTACCCAATGATAGATCTACTCTGAATTGTCCTGTTTCATGATATAGATAAATGACAGTTGATAATCTTGGAATATGTCTATTTATCAATCAAAGTATTTAATATTGTAATCACAGGGCATTACTAGCCGTTACTGACGCCAACGGCGGTGAGAACTTGGTACATTTCACCGAATCAAAGATGTTAACTATAATATATCAATGACACATGCTGATTTATCTATGAGAAATGCCTCCTCATCAATCAAGTCTTTCATATTCTAATCAAGGGGCATTACTAGCTGCTACTGAATCCAATGTCAATGAGAACTTTATTTCCGGAGTTTATAATATATCAATGACACGCTGATTTGCCTAGAAAAAAATCCCTTCATCAATCAAAATATTTTATATCGCAATCAGGGGATATTATGAACCACTGCTGTCTCTAATGAGTGAGGATTTACTGATAGATTTTATTGAATAAAATTTGAGGACGATTTTTTCTGTTTCATAATCAATGACAGTTGACGGTTCATCGAAGAATATGCCCTTTCATAAATCAATGTGTTTCGTATGCAATCGTTGAATGTTATTAGCCTCTACTGACTCCAATGGTAATAAAAAATTGACACATTTTATCAAATAAACTTGTGCACTTGACAGCTTGCTGCTCGACCGCAATGCGTTTATTGTTCTCTTACTATTTATCGGTCTTGTAATTGGCTTCGGCTAATAAATAAATAATAATAAATGAACAAATGAATAACTAAATAAGCAAATGTACTTATAATTTTTCACAGCAATTTTTTAATTTGTCAATTAAATTGTGTCCAGAATTGTGCCCAGAATTATTAAAATTTAATTCTAATAATAAGTGAAGACATTTTTGTACCTTTCAAGACCTCAGAATATCATAAAACTTATTCTCATCAATTCTGCGATTGTAATCACTGAATCTCATTACTTCTGCCTCCAATGACTCGAAATAATCACCAAAGACACGAAGAAACTCCTGGAATCCGCGACTATAATTTCGTAAAAATCAGACTCGTCTAATTTTTTCCCTCAATCCCAGTAATGATCGGTTCACCACTTTTTTTCAAACATGAGGTAACAAGAAATTACAAGCAATTTTGCCTGCAATTAATTTTTATGCAATAGTTCGTAAGGACAACATAATATCCCAGTGAATGAGAAAATAATGAGAAGTGAAAAACGCTTCACTGTCGTAGTTGATTGTTTCCCTATTCTAATGACGTTGTCATCTGCATGTTGTGCACCCTCGATAGAAGGGGAAGTGGACAGCGGAGAAACACCGATAAGAGGCGGCATTATCATCGCGAAACGTTTGCAAAAGACAACAGAGGAATTCTCAATGAATAAGACTGAGCCAGGCATTGAGGTCGCATTTGTTTTGGAGACTATAATCACTCGCAAAAATGGGCAATTAAACTTCTGGACAAATGATTCAACTGATGAATTATTCATAAATGTTAGAAACAGGTTGACTCGTTTCTCCATGATTCAGTTATTACCTCGAACGACTTTCGGCCAAATCTTTTGTTCTTTGTAAACCGGTATTTTCACTTATTGCATTATCATTACACACGAATGAGTGAAAGTAACCGACAAATCTTTTTTGTGCAGGCATTCCCCCGGCTACATTGCGGTGAAAATCTCTGCGGTATTCACCAATTATCATTTTTTTCTCTCTTCATTGTGCAATAATTGCTCAAACGAAAAGTCTTATTATACTGTAATCGATGGCTTGTCCGTAGAATCCAGTTTTACATGATTATTAATCGATTTCACAAGGTCAGAAAATAAACAGGAACTCGTGCTGCTGACGTTTTAGTTTAATTCAGTGCAATTTTTTATTCTTACCTCTTAGTTTACACTGCAGTCTTCAACATTTCGCGGGAAATAAGTAAATGAGTGACACGGCACAACAATTGAATCAATTGTCTTCAATTATTGGAGTTAAAAGGCCCTGGGGCTGACGGAAAATGCAGATTAAAATGTTGTAATGACAACTTGAATGCAATCACAGTTTGAATCTCGGAGCGCGCGTTTAATTTGATGTTGGAATTGCCACTGAGACTGACCGACTGCTCTCTGACGCTGAACTCGATGTATATTCCACGAGACATATGTCCTCTTTCTCCTACCACTTGAACAACCGACAGATCTCCGGGTCTTTTCCTAGACTTCTCATCCAACCGCTCAACATTTCCCTCTTCCTCATCTCGGCATCTACCCCCTACCTCCTCCCCACCTTCGGCATCTTCATCGAATCAAACAAATGAGTTCTGTAACCTTTTTTCGAACGTGCAATTGCGGAAAGTATTGGATTAGCGTGACAGCTGGTTGTATTGTATCGCGTTCATCTGGAGAAACTGTCAATCATCAACGTGATTACCAATCACTCGAGTTCAAAGTTTTCCGGGAGTCGGGTATATTAATTTCGCGCAGCGCAGTTGATGAGAGATTACGGGATTTCAATTCATCGGTTCTGTTTTTTCGGTAATTAAGGATGGTCAAGTAGCTTTCACAGTTCGGTACAGACGACGGTATTAAAATTGATTTAAATTTTAAATAAAGTTACATTTTGAAGAAGTCAATAGTTAATAGTACTCGTCAATTTTTTATTATTCAATTAATCAACAATTGAATATTCACATTCCGATTTATTTTATCAATCAGTAATTGAAATTGAAGGATTGACTATTTTAATAATCAAATAGTCAATTTACAATCCCACATTTTTTATTATTCAATTCATTGTCAATGAAAAATTTATTTTAAATTATCATTCATTTTATCGTTTTCAAGTTTCAACCCAAACTACTAAAACTAATGATTGATGCCGATCCCTGATGGATTCAACCATTTTCAATCATCAAATTTGTCAATTAAAATGCGTGAGAAAATTTTTTTAAACATTTGTTGTTTATAAAGGAATAATTGAAATTGTTTAAACTTTCTGAAACCTTATTTTTTAGGCATGAAATCGATTTCTGGTGAAATTCTGAATATGAATAAATTTGTTACGATTCGAAATAAATGATTTTTATGGTGGAAAATTGATTACTTATAGATTATTTGTTGAAATGCTCGTAATTTTAAAAAATTCACTTTTTGAATCATCGTGAAATGAAAGCTCTGGTGTTCCACTAGAAAACTAGAAAAGCATTTCAATGGAAAAAAAATTGCCAAAGTACGTGATGTCCTTAATCAATTTTAGACTCAACGAGTGCGGTTGTCCGAAGGATGCAAATTCCTGGTTCGTGACTCAGTGGAAATTTTTCCACTTCCTTTTTCTCTTGTTTCCGATGCGGTCCCGGCGAACCGGGTGAGTCGGTTCGATTGAAGAAAAAACAGAATCCCGGATAATTATTGTGGATCGCGAATGATGGATCGTTGTACAGTGGTACGAGAACAATTAAAATTTCGGGGAGAGTAAACTAAAAATTTGCATTTTTCACTCATTTTTTCATCGAAGTGCGAATTTTTGATGACGAAATTCTTTGAAATATGAACTTCATAAAAAATTTCTAAAAAGTACATCGGTAATTTCGTTCGAACTTGCAATTTTCTTCGGATATCACTGTGTCAATAAATGCCATAATCAATTATACTTACTGTTTTATCGAAGAATATGTCTCTCCATCAATCAAAGTATTTCATATTGAAATCACTGGGTATTCTTAGATAAACGTCTTTCTGTTCGACGACTTGGTATACGTTTTTCCCCGAGAATATTTGACTCTAATATTAATTATAATATTGTCTAATATTTAACTATCGTAACAAGCAAAAACAATTCATGTATTACATTAGCCCTTAGGGAATTTAAAAATCTCCGGATAAAATAAACCGCATTCTATTCCATTCCATCGATCGAAGTATCATAATCACTCAACGTCATGACTCACCCCTGACTCTGATGAATAAAAAAATCACCGAAGGCATGAAGAAACAGCTGCAATCCCCGACTGTAACTTCGTAAAAATTTTTTTCTTTTCCTCTCACAGTGAGTCAGTTCTATTGAAGAAACAACAGAACCCAGGATAATTATTATCGTGGACTGCACACGAAATATCATTGTATATCTGTAATTTCAAGCCTCTTTCATTGAACCTACAATTTCCTTCGGATATGAATGTTACATTGAGTGTCTACGTCCTCCAACAGTGGACTCCGTCCTTGCGGTTATCTCGGACTTCATGCTCCGTAATTCAAAGGTAGCGGCTGTCGGTTCCGGGATATGATGCGCCGGATGCGATAAATAGAATTCATAAAGATTGAGACTCTGGAATAAATTGAATTACTCGGAGATGAATAATGGAAATTCATTGTTTCGGTGACATGTGTCATGTGTAATGTGCGGAGTATTTACATGTTTTATCGGGCTGCGATTGCCAGAGCAAGCGCTCACTCGGAACTCGCGTGCGTCTGCTCGGAGGAAGCACGAATATCTGAAAAAATTCAATTGCTTGAAAATAAACATAATGAGTTCCTTATTTTTTGCTCGTTGTGTGAACGGTTCGAACGGTTTGAATCAAGTGGCGACGGCGGGTGAGGATCGAGGCGCTCGGTCATCACGAGGGAATAATGAAAGGGCGGAGGATTATGGTAATAGCTATGAACATAACAAATTTGTTGGCACGAAGCGTAGGATGTTTATGACTGGGAAAGTTGAGCCTTAGATTTTCAATTTTCTATGCGAGAGATGGAGCTATTTCAAGAAATTTAGATGAATTTTGAAAAATGCTCGGGGAATTTCCGAAATTTTTGGTGGATGTATGTCGAGAAGTGACGTGCTAGAGTCTCTAAACATGACAAATCTCTCTAAAGATGATATCTGTTTTCAATTGAAAAGCAGAGTTGTGACATCATTGTCTAGGAGGCAAAAAAATAAAAATTTGGAATATCTATACATGAGGGGCTAATTGATTGGATCTGAATTATTTCCTCCTCTGTTGAATGAAATTGCGCATGAGGCGTTGTTGCCGGAAGCTCGCTAAACGCGCGCGGATAGTGTAGAGTGAATTCGGCAACGCTGAAGCCTAAATAACACGGCGGGGAATCCCCGCTGAGGTACCCAACTCGCAGGGGCGCGTTTGGTGACCAGAGTATGGTTAATTCAATTCAATTCAACATTCAATAAGTTGAATATAAATAATAAAAACTTCTTTATTTTTCATTAATTCACATATTCAGAGTGTAATGTACAGAGTATTTACATGTTTTACAATAACTCGTGCTTACTAAATTCACCTAGAAATCTTTGGCTTCACAATCTCCCCCCAAACCTATAAATTCCTACTTCAACAAATTAACTCCTGCCCTCACAATGATCCTTCTTCTTTATCGCCATAGTGGATGCAGTAACAGCCATCCACTCATTATTGTCAGACTGATACCAAGTCAATCCTAGAGAATACTTGGCATTGAGATTAGCATGCTGACAATGGCTGAACCACCACCCCCCATGATAATTAGCAGCGCAATCAGCTGAGCTGATGTCCATATCCCTGTCCTTAGCGCTGAATTTCATATTATTCTGATAAGAAAAGGCGTCAGTGGCGTTGCCAGAGTAGCCCCCGACCTGCAGCTGATACCCAGTCTCCTCCGACAGCACAGCAAAGTGATCATACTCAGCCGTCCACCTGATGCCATAAATATCCGTCAACTCGATCCTCAGTTTCGTGCAGTTATCTCGAGTCAGCCTGTGCAGGGCCTCATTCCCCACCCAGAATTCATTAAGAGGCGACCCAAAACCACTCGCGTATTCACTCCAACTCCTGTCGAAATCCACGATCCCGTCCATCCTCCTGGCCACCATGATCCAGCCAGCGTGACAGGACACCAGCAGAGGCCCTCCCTGGCCGTTTCCCAGCAGCGTCAAGCCGTCCTTAGCGTCACAATTCCCAGGGAGTGCATCCACCATCAGTCTGTACTCGTCCTCAACGTGCTCCAGTTCGTGAGTGATGTTCTCCGCCCTGGCAACAGCTGAATCGAGTGCTGTCCCCTCTTCCATCCTCCTCTCGAGGTTCGATATGCTCTCCTGCTGAGCGTCACTCTTCTCCTGCAGCTTCGACGCACTGACACTCAGAGCTTGAACCGTCCTCCTCAAATTCCCCAGGTCCTCTCGTGTCCGCGATATCTCCGCGTTTTTCCGCGCAGCGTTCACGTCGATCCTCGCCACTTCCCTCTTCAGTTCCGACTGGTTATTGTTGACTTTGTCTTCCAAAGCTGCCAGAGACCCCAGCGCCGCCTGATCCGAGTCCGCCAGGTGCTGCTCCATGGAAATCACTCGATCGGTGACGTTCAGGAGTTTCATCAGCATCTCCTCCTTCAGGATCTTCAGGGATTCCAGGGGAATCTCTGGGCTCTCGTACACCACCCGCTTCTCGATCATCCCTCGTTTCCTCGAGACAAGCGAGATCTTGCGCTCCAGGCCGTTCAGTCTCTCCTCGATCTTCTTCAAAATCGAAGATCTCGAGAAACTGTGACGCGACGATCTGTGATGCTCACGCTTGTACTCCCGCTCCTCCGCGTCCTCAATTATCTCATTGCGCGATAGGTGATGGGTTTTAGGTTCTACGTGCGGCTCGTACTTCAATGACTTCATCTCAATTTGAACGGTGCTCAACTGTAGAGAGAAACATGTGTTGTAATTAATATTTTATTTCGTGAAGTAAGATGAATTGAACATTATATAATTTACCATAATTATTTATTTGAATACTTCAAATGAGGGGGGCACAATATTCTAGTTCGTTTCTGCTACTTTTGTCTCCAGAGACAATATTCTTATTTTTTATTTTCAATATTATGTACTTACAATTTGGATATAAAAAATTTTATTCCTTAAATCTTATGGGAGAAACTGTTATCTGAATTGATAAATAAATGTAATTGCTCAATGCTTCCAAATGCAATTAAATAGACAAATACAAAGGGTCATGAGTAAAAGGGCTGTGCACCATTGAAAAATTTCAATGGTAATTTTAACTGCAAGGGAATTGTCAAAGAAATTATATTTACAGTAACAATAAACTTTAGGTAAATGTTAAGACAGAGGGCCCCACCACCGATCTTTCTGAAAACTTAACCATCGGATCAAATATTAAATCAAATCAAATACTAATACTAAATCGGTCAAATACTGTTATGAACATTATGAGGTAATTTTCACTTTAATGTAATAGTTGAATCTACAACGTTTATTGTTACCGTAACTATTATTTTTTTGACAATTCCCTTGTAGTTGAAATTACCATTGAAATTTCTCTCAGTGCAAGAGAGCCAGTTCAATTGAGTAAGGTGCGAAGTGACTCGCCAAACCACGAGCGCCACATTTGGAGAAATTAATAAATTCTTTCCCTCGTCCAGATAAATTGACGCGGGACATTCAAAGGACAATTGAACCATTACAGTGTCGATTGAATTGATGAAATCATTTCGACGATGATGAGGGCAGGGTTTTTTGGGGAAAATACTGGAACTAAGAGGTACTTAAGCCCGGGTTTAACGACGTTCCAGCCAGGTATAAAGAACAGAAAATAAAGAGGTACCAGGTGGTGAGTGTGTCGGAAATGGGAGAGAATGAGACGGACGAGGGGCGGGGAGAGGGGAATTTTTGCCTGGCGGCTCGTGTGAGGTAACACACGCCACCCCTGCGTCTGTTCTCCAGGTTTAATTCAACTTCAGTACCGAGAGGGACCTGGGGAGTGGTGGATTGGGGGGGACGGTGAAGGTAAAAAAGGGGGGAAGAGGCAATGTGCCACCTGCCATTGAGAATGGAACGCAGTGGAGGCGGACAAAAAAGAAGTGGGGATTGGCCAACTTTGCGGCAGCTGCTGGCCACCAAAACGAGAAACTGAAATTAACGGCCGGCTGCCTCCAACACGATAGCCGCCTGCTACGGGGGACGAGACCCGCAGGTGCATGAACGAAACATGTAAATAGGGGACGGGGACATTATGCATCCGTAAGACGAAGATATTTTTTTTTATTGAGGAGCAAAATTTCTCTTTATTGTTGACTGGCTTCTCTTCGCGATGCTGATACGAGAGACGTTCGCCAGGGGAAGGTGCGGTTTGGGTGAGGCTAGGGGTGTGCTAGTATTTTTATGAGATGTGTGAACGTGAAAAAAATTTGGTTGTGGGATTGTTTGATCCTTAAACCCTCGAAAAGGCCCTCAATTGAATTTAACGAATGATTTGATTTAGGCGAATCTAGAGGGGTAAAAATATTCTCATGACATGTGCACACATGAAAAAGTTTTCTCACATGATTGTTTGACCCTTAAACCCTCAAAAATCCCCTAAATTGAATTTTTCGCTTTTGAAAATTCCTCTTATTTCATCTTCTTTCATTTTGTTTTTTGTTTTATTTTATGAATGAAGCGATGAAGATCCGTGAGGAAATTTTATTGTAAATCCGAGTGATTTTTGTGATAAAATGATGATGTAAGATTATTCCCCGGATTATTCTTTTATTTTTCTGCCCTTTTGTAAGACTTCCAACTCTGAAATTCGAAGGCACTTTTAATTCTATTATGTTAATCCATTTGGCTTTATAATCGCGCAATGTCCTTTACATTTTCTTTGTAAACATCTGTTCCCCCTTGCTATGAGGGTTCTCAAGTTCACTAAACTAAATAATAACAAAATTAATCTTCCATCTTCCCTCTAAAATTAATAATTTCCTTCTGGTCAATTTCATTAAATTTCTCAGAAAAAGAAAAAAGGTGAAATGTCTCATCTTTGAAACAGATACAAATCCGTTGAAACCCATCCAAAACAATTAGCTTTAATTGCGCAGAAGTGCTGGCAAGTGGAAAAATCTTAACGAAGAGAAATAGTCACCTGACTAGCTATATCAGCGCAACTCCTCGTAACTTGTCCAGCCCTCTCCTTAATCGCAACGATATCCACTCGTATAGTCCCAAGAGATGCCTCAATCCTCGTTAGTCGTCCCCCAAGATCCCTTATGCCCCTTCCAACTTGTGCAACATCGCCCCTCAGCAGTGCAATTTCACTCTTCATCCTGGCCCTCTCCGCAAGCTCCTCGCTGGCATTTCTTGCCCTCAATACCTCAGCCAATTCATTCTTCAACTCGGTAACAGCGCTGCCCAACCATTTGACCCTCAGGCGTTCATTCTTCGCCTCGTTGCCGCTTCCGCCGCGCAGCAAACCCACTTCCTTCCTGTAATTTATGAAAATACAATCGTCACATTTCATTTCACCACCAAGTTCATTCCAAAGTGTATCATCCCGATGATTAAATCACGCCGCCAGAGTTTAATATCAAAGTCTCATCAGGAGCAAATTGACTAAATTACCATCAATTAATTACCTCAACGGTAAGTCAAGATATTCAAGAATTAATGAGCTCTCACCTCAACAGTTTAACTTCATTCCTCAGAACCGTCAACTCTGTATTCTTCTCCATCGCTATTTTGAGACTCTCCTCAAGTGCATTGTAATCCTCTTGCCTGTGATCAATAAGTGCATTCACTTGTTCACGAAGTAGCTTCACAGTATCCGCGAGATCAACCTCACTATCTCCAAGGGCACTTGCCAACAGCATCAACACCAGCCACTTGAGACACATCTTTAACGTTTCGTGATTGAGTTATCAATTTGACGCAACGGAGGTGCCTCTATCGAGGCTAATGACACTGTCTCAACGCAATGCTCAAGTCAATGTTTTTTGGGAGTGAAAATTTGGGGGAATAGGTCCTCACTGGAGGAACTTTGGAGCTTAACTGAAGCAATCCACTGGCGAGTCCAGGTGCTTATATCATCGAATGGACAAAGGGACGGGGGTACGTATACAAGAGCCTGTCGGTTGGGCGCGAGGCAGGTGTTCGCCGCATGAACGCACCGTGCGCCCATCAGGTATAAGGCCCCATGGGCCCCCACCCCCTTCCAATATGCCCGTGAATACCGGCATCCTATATATAAACTCATTCCACATTTTATTATCAAAATTCTTGAGCCTCGGGAGGATGAGAATTCGAAAAATTTAGTTTCGTCGAGAGATTTTCGCGAAAGAGTTCGATAGGGGCAGGCGCGGTTCTGCATTCGGGCTGGAGGGGTTTACTGGAGGTGAATTTGTTGCTGTTGGGACTGAAAAAGGCCAGCTGCACGGGTACTTTGATGAGCCCTGAGGGCTCTGTGGCGCGTGGCGGCTGAAAAATTTTCCAGGGGCTCGAGGGCCACGCGCCAGCTCATAGTCATCTCTTTCTCTCGTGCCACAGCCGGTCTACACACGAGATTCGAGATGAGATTCGTGCGCTAACTCCCTCCGCGCGCTCTTCTGGTCAAGTTTTTGGGACGCAGGGATGAGATAATAAATATCAGGGGTATAACACCAGACGCCAGCTGGCCAGCGATTCGCGTTTTTTTTTTGGTGGAGAGAATGTTTGATTGGTAGATCATTAGCATCAAATTGCGTTTAATAGGTATTTGGATAGTAAATTATATGGGGAAGGGATTAGGGGATTTTTTACCGGGGATTCGGGGGAAATGAGATTTTTGGGGTAATGCGAGGGTTGAAATGAATAGTGAGTGATTGGAATTATGAATTAATGGAGTAATTCATTTATAAAAGATGATGCATATGTAGTTTTTTATAATGAATGTCTGAGGCGCATCAATCGTTTACTTTTTCGAGACAATGATTTTTTTTCGTTGGAAATATATTTTTCCTCTCGATGCATCAAGGTTTTTTATTCCTTTATTCGCGTTTTTTCGCGAATTTTCTCGTTAAATTCGCAATACCAAATGCAAAAAAAAAATTATCAGTAGACGATTAGCATCAAATTACGGTCAATAGGTATTTGGCTAGTAAATTATATGGGGGAAAGGTTTAGAGGGATTTTGTTTGGGTAATTTGAAGGTTGAAAAAAATATTGAGTGATTTGAAGAATTATCAGAAATTTGTGAGGAATTATGACTGAATGAAGTAATTCAATCATAAAAGTTAATAGATCTGTAATTTTTAATGATCATGAACGATCGATAAATCTGAATTTGTAAAAAAATCATTCAATAGATGATTAGCATCAAATTACGTTTAATTAATAAATATTCAGATAATGAATTGTATGGGAGAAAGCTTCAACTGGATTTTGATGAAATATCTCGGGTAATTCGAGGGGAATCTGAAAATTCACTTTAACAGTGAGGGATCACGTATTAAGGGATTAATGCAGCTGTAATTTTTGATAATGAATGCGCCTAGGACGCACCAACCGTTTATTTTTTCGAAACAATAATTTTTTTCTATATATTTGTTCTCTACACATCAACGTATAACATTTTTAATCCGCATTCCCCCGCGGGTTTCTCGTCGAATAACGTAATGCTACAAATAACCCGGGGATTTTACATTTTCAATAATAAAAGAGTGAGGTATTTATCAACTAACGTTACCCTTTCCATAATTGTTACATTGCCATATTTACATTATTTAAAATCACATATTTCGATAAAGATTAATGGCACTAAACCAAAGTCATCACTTTGATTATTCATTTGTGTTCTATTATTTGTGTGAGGAATAGTTTTTCTTGTGGAAGTTGATTTACTCAATCATTATTGACTTATTAGTCCGATTAAACTTCAGCAGTTAAAAACTTCGTTAAGTTCCTAATTTGTATTAGACTATTAATTTAGAATTATTTATAAATTCGTAGAAATTTAAGTTTGTGCCGATCCGTAGGTACCTGTTGGTGGTCTGTACAATTTTGGTAGAGTCAAAATTTGTAGACTGTTGAAAGCGTATTTCTTTATGCCCGTGTTCTTCAATGTATTCTCTCGTCTGCAGCCCTCACTGAAAAATATCGTTCATTAATTGTTATCCACATCAGCGCCTTCAAATGAAACGATTTGGATGCGTCAGGGCGCATTTTAAAGCTTGAAAAAATACCTTCAAAATGAGGAATAATAGGGAAATTTTACTTTGCGGTTCTCGAGTTATTGAAGATTAAACGTGATAGTTTTACGGAAATTTCTCCTACTCATTCTGTGCATAAATACCTGCGCATACAGTCCAAAGCCCTGATGAACTCATGCTCCGACAAATGATATTCAGTAGCAAGAATATTAACTTGCTCGATTGTAATCGACATTCCTGTACGGTCTTTGGCACTTTTGCAGCTGGTAAACCTCAGCCCTTTCATGCGCCTGCATATTTGGGAGGACAGCTGCAGGATATCAGTGTTTTTGGATATTTTTGCCTGTACACTGGCCTTTAGATTCATCATCATATCACCGAGACTTTGATTCACATTTGATCGTCCACCAGTTACTATAATGATCATTTAGAATTTTTAAAAAATTCAATCATAAAAAACCACGAAAACCCCAATAAACTACTTACACCTCGTAGCACTGCTCTCAGTCGGTAAATTGAGCTTCTTAAACCTCAAGTAATACTCATTCAGTCTCTCAAAATTATCCATGTTACTCTTCTCCTGTGGTTTAGTAGTCCCCAAGCTCTCCGCCAGCGAGGCAAGCTCATTGATCCCCACATTAAAAAACACCGGAGTAACATTAAACGAAATAGTCTGCCTGGAAGAGGGTGCAAGTGGCAAGAGCGAGTAGATTCCATCAGGAACGGGAAGTATAACGGTCAACGCAGTCCTGGAGCCTACGACCCTGGGCACAGGAACCTGCGAATTGCTGTCCTTATCAAGCCCAGAATGAGACAGGCCACACCTTGTCAAGGTAAACGTGACAGTGAGCATGTCTTCAACGGCAACAGCCATGTCCCCCCACATGTCGATCTCCTCCCCATAATAGCTGAGGAGTCCCTCGAACGAGGCAAGAGGCCCCAGGGTCGTCAGGATCAGGAGGAAGAGTGGATCAGGCCTCTGGCACCACAATTTCGCCATCAACCCAGTGACCAGGGCAGTCAGAGCCTGACTGAAGCAGACATCCCTCCTGTACCTGATATTGAGAATACAAAATTACAGGCAGTTTTGATGTGCGTCAAGTCAGTGGTAAACTGACAATTAATTTGAGGGATCGCCCGTAATCATTTATTTCCTACCGTCATTTGTGATGGAACATCATCCATTCAGTTGAGAATAGGGATGTGCAAAAATTTTAGGACATGTCATTTATTCAATTATAGATAAATAATCGTTTAAAATTATTCATTTGATAAAACGCTTCATAAATATTTTCTCATAAACCAAGTAAGCTTTGATAATAATGCATTGAAAAAAAAAAGAGTGTTCCCTCCTTTTTTCTCCAGAATTATGATTTCCCGAGAAAATGTCAGTAATTAGGTCGTCCTTAGTGAGTGTAATTTCCGCGTAAAATAACGGTAAACTGAACGCTAATTTTTGTCCGTTGCATTCCTACCTGACATTGCACGCCCTCTGCGCAATCTTGGCGTCCTCCTGCACGCGAAAGACGGAATGCGTAAGCCTCGCAGTCTTCAGTAGCCCATCCATCGCCTGCCTCAGCTTCTTCATACTGGGCCTGAGTTCACTGGTCCAATCTACAATGGACGCAAAGTCCAAGCCCTCAGTGAACTTATTCCTCCCCCCAGAATTACTCTTAATGACCCTCGTCATACTGTCCACCGCCTGACAGACCTCCTTAGCCTTCGCAAATCCCGTCTCCCCCTCGCTCCCCTTCCCATTACCATTATCCAACAACTTGCAAGACTCATCACTCTTAACATCATTCTTCGGCTGAATGGTAACCACATTACCGCGATCCGCCAGACCTCTCAAAGTTTGTGTTCTAGCAACACCATTTTTATTCCTCAAACGAACCGCAGGACTGCTGCACCTACCGCAGAGAAACTTAACTTTCGACACTAGGCACATTACACTGGCTTCGATATTCAGCTGAGTGAGATCCCAGGGCTCTGGTTCGTCCGTCGGTTTGTAGTAATTTGCTGATGGAGAATTGCACATTTTCTGGGTATCCAGGAATCTCTTGCCGAGGTCCAGCTCCCCCCGCAAGTCATCCTCCTTCTCGTCGTCCTCGTTGTTGTTGTCATCAGGGTCTTCCTGATCTCTATCAGACTCTCTCTCCTCCTTCGACTCCTTCAAGTCGTCCTCGACATCCGGGAATATAACAAAGTTCTCCTCAACCGTGTCATTGGAATTCGCTAGCTTTTGCACAGAGTACTTGGTCCTCGCGGACTCCTTCGCCCACATGTCCTGAATGCACTCTGGAGTGTCCGGGGTTATCAGGTCGTCAAAGTCCGGACTTTTGAGGTCGAAGTTCAGCTGTTGGGTTATTCGTTTGAAAGGTGAGAGGGATTGGTTTGACTGGAAATTCAGGGACAAACTTTCGTCGTTTGGGTTTTTAGCTTCCTCTGGTGGTTTCGATACTTTGTGCTCCTCCAGGAATGTCAGGGCTTCCTCGACGAGGCCTGGGTCCCACAGACTGAGGAGTATTCTGGTCTTTGAGATCATGTCCTCGCAAATGGGAAGCATTCCACTGGTCTGCTTCTCCTTCGCTAGTTTTATCAAAGATCTCATGGCCTCAACGACGTCCCTTCGAAGTTGTTTTATGGCTTGGATTGCGTCATGAGCCATTGTGATCTTAGACGTGCCTTGGTACAACTGATTGTACCTCGTTGGGGATTCCTTCAGGGCCTGCACCAGCCTGATCAAGCCGCCGTTCTTACTTTTGTGAGAGTGCGCTGTGAACGCCCCGACACTCACAAGATCGTAAAATCCACATTTGTTCAGAGTGTCATTGTGAACCCACATCCTTTGCAGGTGCAAGTTCAACGGTGCAAACTCCAGAGTTCTGTCGTTCCTCCTGGAAGAGCGCTTGAAGTAGCTGCCCTTGAACCCCGAGAGATTCTCCTTCGCTTGGGAGTACAGGTGGAGAAGGTGGAGATGTCGGTCCAGCAGTTCCACCTGTTTCGTGTGCCAGGGCTCGCGCAGCTCCCCCATGCCGGCGACTTCCTGGAGGAGCTCCTTCTCCTCTTGGATCCAAATACCGAGGAGCTGCTGAGGGAACTGGAAGCAGAGTTTGCTCTCGGCCATTATCTCGTGCACGCAGATGTCGCCCCCCAGACCTGAGTGGAACCTGTAGGTTTGCACGTGAGTGTTGGCGAAGAGGAGTTTCAGCTGACCCTGGTGGGGGAGTTTTATCTTGGTTCCCAGTCTTGGCGGGAGGGACTGGGACCTCCTGTGGCAGAACATCTGGTTTGTGGACGAGGGGTTTCTCGAGGGGGTACTCTCCGTGCTATTCCCCTTGTCGTCGGCTTCCAGACTCCAGACGTTTATCGTGAGGAAGCCGACTGTTGTGGATTTTGGACTTTTCAGGGGGATCCTCAGTCTTGGGGTGTCTTGAACAGCGCAAAAGGTGACAACTGCACTGCCAATTGGAGTCGCCGTCTGGGAGACTCTCTCGCGCACGTCGTAAGCTGTTATTCTGACTCTTGTGTCGGTACTCAAACCGTCGCTTCCGCGAAAGCTGACGGTTGTCAGGAAACCTGGGTTACTGCTTCTCTCGATCACCTCGGTTCTCGCGTATTTGATCCACGTTCGGGATTTTGAGGCTTGCACGTCTATCTCGAGGACCGGGTTCGGGGGCCGACCGTGACCGTCGCACAAGAGATTATCACAGGAGAGGGAGACCTCGCATATTGGCACTTCGGCTGGGTCTATCACAATGCCACGTTGCAGGCGCAACATTTGGATGTCTGTGCCATTCTTGTGGCCACTGGACGCCTCTATTCTTTCGCGGAGGGCTAGCAATTGGTTTCTCATGCATTCGTAACTTGCCAGCTGGAGGGCTTGCAGCCAACTGTCTCGCTCGTCTGAGGAACTTGCGCCCAGTTGTTGATACAAGCCTCCGTCGAACACTGGAAGGGGAATTGTTTGGCTTTATGGGGGGCTTGCAGCTGGATTTAATCGGGGTTTTGCATAAACTTTGGAGATGCTTTTGCACGTGTGAAACATTCTGATGAGTGAATAAAGGAAATTGTTTATTAATTATTCTAGGAACGAAATCCCAAGATCTTTAAAAATTGAATTCTATTATTTTAAGATTCTTGAAATGCTTTTCAGTAGTTTAAAATAGAGAATCGAATTTGGAATCATTATTAAATGATTTTTTTTGTGAAATGTAATTTATAGAGTCCTTGCACAATTGAATTTAACATATTAGTCGATGATTATTCAATTTTTTCATCTTCAGAATTTAATTCATGAAATCACAGACTCGAACAGAAGCTCTGAAATTAGATGTTTCATAAGTTTAAGCTTTGAGGTCTGTAAAGATTTATATTTCTACGTGAGGAAAATTGCTATCAGTTCATATACGAACAAATGCTCAAAACATTTAATGCAAAACCTCACGTGAAAGGCCAGTGGTCCCTCATTTTGGTAGTCTATTACGAGCAAATGTACTTGTTTAATGCGGATAACAGCCTTACCTATGCTAAATCCATAGGGAATCTGATTAGTAGGCTGTTCAACCCGGAAATTACACTGCTCCAGGATAATTACGCCCATTGGTTCGGACCATTGTTCCTTTGATTTGAAGTAGAACAAGAGATTTCCCCGTAATCTGCACCAACGCTCCAGGCTTACTGCGGGGGAAAGAAATCTTTATTTTTTCTTCGATGTTGTTGCTCTTTTTATCTCACCCCACGCCGATTAAACTTGTTTTTTTTTGTCTGAGCGCAGCTCTGGCTTTACTCAATACGATTGCAAAATCGTTCAATGATTCGGCCATTTTATTGATATTACGTTCATGCTTGCAACGCTACGTCAATCGGCCAAAATACACGGCATGCAAGTAAACAGTATTCTACACAGGCACATGCGAGGTTTTTTTTAATAATTAACGATTAAAGCGAAATGCCGAAATGGATTTTCGGTGTACGCATTTGAATATTCTAGTTTTTATCATTTCAAATTCATCAAGTGATGTATATTTGAAAAGCCTTCGGACACCTGTGCATTTTACACTGAGCCAACTACCAGATTTCTCCATTTTTTCAGTTGTTGCATTTTTTATGAGAATTGTTAATTGATGATGTTAGCTAATTACGTGATAGACGTGATGGTTAGTTGGTGTGGCCTTGTTGCGTGAGAGAGAAAAAAATTAATGAAAAATTGTGGAGATGAAAAATTCTGTTTTATTTCATTCGAAACGAATAATGTGATGAGAAAATTTCAGGGAAAGTACGCTGTTGCAGGCGTATTGAGAGCGTAAAAATTAATCAGGTAAAATGTATTCGTTTCAAATGACATTTCGATAATCAAAAGAGATTTTCGTTTGGTTTTAATGTCTTCATGTTTGGGTGAGTGAATACGAATTTTAGAACTGTATTTTGTGTTTCGTGATGTGAGAAAATACAGCGAATACGGGTATTCACTGATTAACCGTATAATATGAGAGCTAAATTTTTTTTTAAATAATCCATAGGTTTTGATTTTTTTTATTGCAAAAAATTTTGTTAACAAAAATCAGAGCAAAAATATTCAATGGCACACGTGAGACGTATTGTTTATCAAATAAGAATTAGCCACGTAGAATTGATTTGTTTGAAATTCATATTTTGAAAATGAAAAAAACAGTGAATACGGGTAATTAATTACAAATACTAAATCTGAAGTCCAATATTTTCCGTTTTTTTCAATAATCAATACTTTTTTGTTGTAAAAAATTCTGTTTCCATTCAATTTGAGACGAATAAAATAAATTTAAAATAATAACAAAAATAAAAAAGAAAAAAAGTTAATCACACAGAGTTAATTGGTATGAAATTGAAATTTCGAAAATCATTTTCGAAACTCATTCACTTTAAATGTCTTCATATTTGGATGTATTTCGTGATGTAAAAACACACAGTGAACACGTGTAATCAATTAAAAACAGTACAATCTGAGGGCCAATATTCTCCACATATTTTTTTCCCTCCTATCAATAACTCCGTTTTTTTTTTGTAATGGGTAAAATGCACTCGTGGTACCTTTGCTTGTGCCGGCTGTAACACAACTGAGTTGTCGTAGAGTCTTATGGGTTTTTCCTTTTTGTCTTTTGCGCTCAACTTTTTTACCCGTACCTGGAAATTTACGTTCGAGGTACTGATTTGTGGATTAATTTAACAATAAATAAACTCCACACCCTTGTATTTACAATAGATAAGGAGATAATGTACAATGATTTATTAAATTTACACCATGTCACACTTTTTAAAACTGCTTTTCCTTTTTTTAATCGCGAATTGTCGAGTGGCCTCAACAGTTTTCCTCGAGTTTCTGTTTATTACAGTTAGTAGGCGATTAAATCATGTTTCATGCATTATCTGTGGTTGTTTTATCTCCTGTTGTTACACACGACGATGCATGTGTGCATTCGACAAGTTTATGGAAATTAGGGGGATTTAATGATTCTCTTCAGACACTCATAGCTTCTATATTGAATCATGCCTGTAAATAATTCTAAGATAATTGGTATTGGGGCTGAAAAATAGTAATATTGAACTCAAGCGGGTCGCATTTCATACACTGAGAGAAAAAATTACTTCTATCCAAAAATTTATATTCCATGTGCGCAACAAAGAATTCCTTCTTTTCCGTAAAACTTGATAATTTCCATGGAAATGGGTTTTCCGACAAGAAATCGATACATCTCTCGAGTAAATCCGTTCGGTCCGCAGCAAATTATGTAATGTATTGACTACAATTGAGTGAAGAATATTTTTTCCTGATAATAATTCACTAGCGGAGCGGTAAAACGGTCGAAGTCGATTTTGACTTAGTCAGTTTTCAATGAATATCTCGGAAACTAAAGCAAATAGCAAAATTTTCGTTAAAACCTTTTTCATAGCTCTCGATGCGCTCTACAGGAAAGCTTAGTACGAAATTTTCGCTATCTCCCTCGGATTCCGAGATATTCCGCGAAAACTCGGCTAAGAGCTAAGTCGACTTAATAGTTTTACGCTTCGCTACTGAATTAAAATGAAAAACTTGAATTCTATTCCGAAAGAATCGAGTTATGCCCGAAACTGAATAGCTACTTGGGAAATCGATTTCTTTTGTGGAAATAATACTCCTTTGTCGTCAATATATTCTATCGGAGTTATTATCATATAGGGCTCCCTCACATAGAATGAGCACGGATGAGGAAATTCAATAGAAGACGTAACGTATTCGTTAGAATATTCTATTGAAATTCTATTGAAATGCCAGTAGAAATACAATACAGTTTTGTTTGAATTAGAATTTTATTAGAAATAATGGAATTTCATTGTGCAATTTTCCAGTAGATTTTTAGTAGAAAAAAGTGAACAGTTCATGTTTTCGTAGAACTTATTCTGTCGAAAGCCACACGAATACTTCGGCATGAATGTTCTTGCATGAAAACATAAAAAATTCAATCTTAATAATTTATGCACAAAAAACATCAAGAGAATGAGTCATACATGAAAAGTTAAAATCTATTCCCTTTTTTTCATGAAATATTAGTCCAAAAATCGCATGAAAGGCTGTGAAAATATTGAATAGAATTGATTTCTAAAAACTACTGAAATTTCAATAGGACGTTCCATCCATTTTTTCGTACACATTTTACGAACAGTTCAACTATTCATAAATTTCAAATCCTTCCCCGAACACCTTAATTTCCCACAAGTAAACATCCTCCCCCGCCCGAATAGTCCTCACGCACAGCATATAAATCACACGGAGAAGTAATTTTTCCCTCAGTGTGAAACAAATCAATCAAATGATTGATACTACAGAGAACACAGACAAATAGATATAAATGATCTCGCACGTTGTATAAATCTATTAAAAGAGTAATGCGAATACACGTTAAATGTAGAATAATTCAGCACAAAAATGTCACATTGTCACGATCAATCATGTAAACCGAAACAATAAATATCACTCTACTCTGAAAATTATTCTCACGAGGAGAAAAAAAACATGCGACATTTCCAGCGAATCTAACGCTCTGAACTAACGTTCTCTATTCATTAATCCCTATTTTAACGACTCAATTAACGTATAATTATGAAATTAATGAGGGACTCACTCTCTGTCCTACGAAAGAATCCCTCCTGACGCTCACGTATGCACAATGTGCCCTCCTTGTCAAACTTTTGCGACGGCTGTGTAGCCAGTGTCATTAATTCCTGTTTATTAAACCTCATCCTCAGTTTTACCTACGCCCCACAAAATTAATCATCATTACCCTGAAAACAACATCACCCTGATTATCCCGAACAATGTAAAGAGATATTAATTATCAAATAAACAAATCATAACCTCGAAGAGTAAAAAACTGATCAATTCCCAATGAAATAACGCTAATGAGGTAAGAGAGTGGAGATTAAGGGCAGCACGAGGTGAATTCTCCTTACATCTCACGCATTAATGAGTAATTACGGAGGCGAGAGACTTACTTAACGATTTTCAATTAAATACACGGGGGATTGGTTGCTATTCTCGTGTTCCCCAGCTGTTCACCGGAATTATTTTTTCAATCATCACTTTTATCAAAGGGAAGACGATCCTCTCTTTGATGAGTATCACATTGTTGAGGGGCAAAAAATTGAGGGGAAAAACAATCTCGAGATGCACTCCTTTTTTGTTCTTTACTAACAGCAGAAACACTTCAACTCTTGCGCCATTGATCTATCGAGTACCGTCTTTTTTCTCGTTTTTCTTCATACGTTTGTACCACACACGTTAGTTAGACGCCTCACGGGTTCTGTGGACCACTGAATCGGTCGTTAATCCCACCCACGTTACCTCCGGACTCGGTGGGACAAATAGAACGAAGGGGGAGTCTAGTTGTTGTTACTCCGGCGTTAATTTATTCCCCGTTTTTTTTTTGAGTTTTGGAGTGCTCCGGGATGAGTGTTACTGTGCGTGAAATAATAATAAGGGGTTTCTAACCTCGAGGAGCTGTCAAACCCGGACGGCAGACGTCTGAGCTATCATGGAGGATTTTCTCGTCACATCGAGGCACGCACTGGTGAGTGAACTTTGAGTGTCACTCTGACATTTTGTGACATTTCGGTGGGAAACTTGGGCGGCTGTTCACCCCGGTGTTTTTCGCCTGTCAATTGCACTTGTATTTTGGATTGTTAGAGTGAAAATAAAATAAAAGGGGCGACTGCGCGCTGCGCGCGGGGATTGGCCGTGCGTGCGCACGGGAATGGGCGCGCGGATATTTGAATTTTGGAGCGGCCGGGGGTGAACGGGGGTTTAGATTCTTTTTATCACTGTATCCGTAGAACGACGTTTTACGGACACTTCGTGTGCGTAAAGCGCCGTTTGCGGACATTGTGAAAAAACTGGGTTTTTTCGCGTAAAGTGAAGCTAATTATTTCACCTTTCAGTGATATTACCCGGGTATAATCATGTAATCAATGATTTTTTTTGTAGATCGACTTTAATAAATTGAAAAAAAGCACAATGTGGCACAGGTTTTTTATTATTCTGCGACAGAGATCTGCAGGAGAATTATATTCCAATGAAATTTTGTTACCGTATCAATAGTTGATGAGAGGAATAGAATTGTTTTTGCTTTTGTAATCCATGTATTTGCATTACTGTATTTACGGTTGACGGAGGTAAATTGACTTTTGATTACCTCCGTAATGGGTAATGATAATAACAATTTTCATTGTTCATTCGCTCACAAAATACTGACGGTCTAAAAATCCGAAATACCCAATTATAATTATGGATCACTTGAGTAACGCACGAATATAATAAGTTATTAATCAATAGAGTGTTCAGAAAAATTTCACCGCTCAATAATTCATAATATAATGAAAACTGAATGAAAAGGCCGAAAAAAACTCAACTTCAGAGTGAGTTTATTTACGGATTGATCGGTATTGAATTATCTCCAGACCCTTCTATTTACACTCCAGAGGAGATAATGAACCCTGAAGTATTTAATTAGGCTTATTTTAGACTTCTCACAACAATTAATAAATTTGTTTCCGAATGACTAAAATTAATAAAAGAAGGTAAAATGCTTTCTCATTGACTGCTTTCTCCCTCCACATTATTTTTCGTAGAAAGAATTGAGGAAACATTCCACCAAATCAGACAGTATTAAGATGAGTAAAATGAGAGGTTCGAACACTGAACAACTCCCCCTCCGGCATTTTTTCGTTTACAGAAAAATCTGGATAAATATGAAAAAATTCGAGTGATTCTTGGAAACGAAAGCTGCGATTTAGACTCGGCAGTTTGCTCCCTGGTTCTCGGATTATTCCACTACTCCATGCTTGAAAAAGCAGATACAAAGAACGCTGGAGTGATACCACTGCTGAATATTCCTAAACGAGAATTTAAAATTAAGACCGAGGTAGTTTTTCACTTACAGCATCATGGCATTCAACTGGAACATTTGAGCTTTAGGTCAGTCATTGTAAAAAAAAATCAATAGCTCGTTTCAACTGTCCTATCCCTTATTTTTGTGTGGAACTAAAAATGGAAAAATAATTGTTTAGAGATGAAATAGAGCTAAAGAATCTGTCGAACGAGAAAAAATTGGAACTCTGCCTGGTGGATCATCATACGCTGAACGAGCACGACGCGTCATTGGCAGACTCAGTTGTCCAAGTAATCGATCACAGACCCCAAGACCCGAATTGGTTGTGGACAGGCAGAGATATTAATTTGGAAAAGGTCGGCAGTTGTGCGACACTCGTTGCTAGGAGAATATTTGAGGAAAAACCGGACATTCTCAATGCCCAAATCTCGAATTTATTGCAAGGTAAAACAGACACGAGGAGAACAACATGACAATCAATCAATTTGGACTGGCAATTTCGTCCCTTCACTATCCTCATTTATTATAAGCCACGAGAAATCGGGGATACACCCTTGGCGAGGGGGAAGACTTGAGGTCATGATTTTCAAATGAAACAAAAGAGAAAAAATCAAAATTAGATTTTTTTCGGGGTGAATTATTCGAGAGAACAAACAGTCTTTTTCAACGTTTTTTGAAGATGTCAAAATACCTTTAAATTAATTCAAATTATTTTTTTAATGAATGGTGGAAAATGTTGAAATTTCAGATTTTAACTGTTTTGGGATGAAATTGATTTCTGATGAAATTTTAGGCGTAAAAAATTATTCAAAATCGATTGCTCATGAATTATTTGTTGAATTTCAATTTTAGAAAACCACCGCAAAGAAAATTGAGATAAAAATTGAGGCTTTTATATATTTTAAATTTCAAAATAATTGAAAAATGTCCAGTAACCTAGGATCAAATGCTAAAAGGTTTTTCAACAAAAGAAAAGACTAAAGTACTTTGATGTCCTTAAAGTAAATTTCTAATTCCTTCATTTTTATTCCTCTCCATTTCAACGGCATAACTCATAATCTACGATCTCCTCAAAAAAATAAAATAATCCTTCAACGAGCTCTGAAATGATTTTTTAATGTCCTTTCTTCTTCCAATAGGTCCGATCCTTGTAGACACATGTAATTTCTCAGCCGAGGCGGGTCGTGCAACGCCCCTCGATATTGAAATAATGGAAAAATTGGAGTCACTGAGGCAGGAAAAAGCGACGAAAACTCGTGATGAAATTCACTCGTTAATACTTGATGCAAAAACTGACATCAGCTCCCTATCGCCCGAGGATCTGCTCATAAAAGATTTGAAATACGTAAATGGAATACCAATACCCGGATTTCCTATTCTCGTCGAGGTTGTTTAAAAATACTGTTAAATTCCTTGAATTTTTCACTAAATTTAAGCTCCAATTCAACCCACTGATATACCCCCTAACTTCAATTTCATCTGTTTTCGTTTTGCTCACCCTTTTTATTTTTCATTTTATTTCTCTTCCTTACTCGTCAGGAATTCTTGAATTTAAATCGCGCTCTGGATGCCGTGAATTCGTTTACAAGCGAAAGGGAATGCAGAATCACGATTCTACTTGGGATGGATTTTAAGAGGGACGTGGTGAAGCGAGACCTCGCTGTCTTTTCCTTCTTGCCCAATGAGCTGGAAAATAGAGTGAGCATTTTTTTTTCAACTCAGTTTTACTCACCTTTTATCTTATTTCCTCTTCGGCTTATCATCTAAATTCAATTACTGAAACACTTCGTTCTTAATTAAGTTTGACATAAAATTAAAAGAGAGGGGGATTCTTTGAGTGTAAATCGATGAATGAATTTCGCTCACCAGTGATTTTAATTCAGGTGTTCATTCTTGTATGTTTCAAGGAAACACCATCCATTCTGATATTTTTCATTTTTCAGAATTGTGTCATTACTTTTTTTCGTCAATACATTTTTTTTAGGCCGTGACTATTCGCACCATTGCGTGAATCACTCCCGTACACTCCATACACTCCACGCATGCGTGAAGTTTGTGTGTTTCACGCAGCTGAATTTTCATACTGCTGTGTATTTCACGCAGTTGAAGTTTCACACTACTGTGTGTTTCACGCAGTTGAAGTTTCATACTACTGTGTGTTTCACGCAGTTGTATTTTTATACACATGTGTGTTTCACGCAGTTGTATTTTTATACACCTGTGTGTTTCACGCAGTTGTATT